TCAGTTCCCACGCAAAAAAAAAAAAAACAGTGACACAGTTACTCTTAACAACTCAGAAAATAAACTGGATGTAAATCCAACCATCAGGTTTTTCTGAACTCAAAGTTCTTCAAAATCCTGATGAGCCACTTTGAGCTGCTCACAAGGAAAATGTAATAATTTCACACCTCAAGCAGAGAGAGAGAGAGAGAGAGAGAGAGAGAGACAGAGAGAGAGAGAGAGGTGTTTGGTCTGCTGTGACCTCTGACATTTGGTTTGGTTGGACGACACAGAGAAACTGGAGTAATGCGGAGTCTGTCAGGAACAGATGAAATAATAAACGAGATCTGAGCCTGAAACACAACAAACGAGGAAAACGAGTCGACAGAAAACCCAGTTATAATGAGAACAACTGCAGGGGGAGGAAGAGGAGAGACGAGTCGACAGAAAACCCAGTTATAATGAGAACAACTGCAGGGGGAGGAAGAGGAGAGACGAAGAAGGGAAGGAGGGATGTCCTCTGGTTCTCACCTTGCCCGCCTGACCCTCGTCGTGTGTTTGGGGATTTTCCAAACCTCCCTCCCTCTTCATCTTTCTCTAACTTCGCCCCTCCATCATCCTCACACTTACATCAGCGCACAGCAGAAAGAGCGGAAAAAAACAACAAAAAAAAGGAAAGAAAGAAAGAAGGAAGGAAGGAGAGCGGAAGAAATACGGACGGCAGGAAAGGAAACAAGAGTGCTGACTCAGAGGAAAGGAGCCGGCGTTTCTCCCATCCGAAGAGCTGGTGAGGAAGGTCAGAGGAGGAGGAGCGGGAGGTCTGACCGCGCAGAGAGAGAGAGAGAGTGTGTGTGCGTGTGTGTGTGTGTGTGTGTGTGTCGGGTTGTTCTGAGAAAAGACGTTATTGAAGGGAACTGACTAATTGCCAGTTTAGCAGCTGTCAAAAGCAGCTGGTTGAGAACGAGACAGAATCTGCTGCAGAGGCATTAACTTTTACTCTACATCTATAAATACGTTTATATGCAAATAACTGAAGGTAAATATATGAAAAATATTGATTTCTGTTTATACTTTTATGCTACTTGGTGTGTTGTGACAGCTGAATAAAATTCATAAAAATTTAGTTTAGTTTAGTATTAGGGCGATTTGAGACACATAGAAAGCAGGATTACATTTCTGTCAAAAACTCAAAAAGTTTAGATTAATCTCAGAAAATCTGTAGAAAAAAAATTTAATTTCTGAGTTTGAAAAGTTGGAAGTTTGCTAGAAACATAATCAGAAATTTTGAAATTAGCCTCAGATTATTTTTAGAAAAACTTTAAAATTTTATTAGTCTCAAAAATAAAATAAAAATCAAATTTTGACACTAATAAAATGTCCAAATTTCTGAGATTAATCTTAAAATTGTTGAGTTCTTTGTCAGAACTGTTTTTTTATTGTACCATGCCCCTAGTATTCCATTGTAGTCTTAACAGTATTAATTTGGTTATTTTCTTTCATCTGTCAGTCTAAATGCACTAAAACAAACAAAATCCCACTTTTCTAAACATTTTATAAAAAACATTTCTGCTCTTCCCTGACCTTGCCAAAAGGGGGCGGCAGAAACAACCAGCAAGCGGAAAGTTGACCTAAATTAGAGTGAAACACCAACACACTGCCACTTTTTTACCACTGTCAGATCCCCATTGTTCGGCTCTACGTGAAAACATCTTAATACTTTCTAGAAATGTTTACAAGTCATTTTTTCCAAAAGTCAAGTCAAGTTTCAAGTCTCTGTTGACTGAAATAAACATTTTATAATAAAAGTGTATCAATAACAATATATATCGCAATAGAGATGTGATTAATTTCAACTTTGATCCATAACTGCACAGCATTCTGGGAGATGTAGGCAGAGGAAAGACTTTAGCCACTCAACCTCTCATGGCTATTAGCTAAGCTAGGTTGGTGGAATCAACTCACTCACTCTGTGGTTACCTAGCAACTCATTCACTCTGTGGTTACCTAGCAACTCACTCACTCTGTGGTTACCTAGCAACGACCTGCTGAGTAACTGCCACAGCAGCAGTTTCAGGTTTCGCCTCATAACTGCTTAAAAAATAAAAAACAAGGACATGGAGTTAAAACTGTGGATACAAACAGGAAGGTCACACCTCCAGCTTGGCAGCATTTAAAATATTTAAAACAAAAACTAACCAATAATTATAGGCATCGACTGATATGAAACGCTTATGTTTTTCAGCCATGTTGTCTACCCTTAAGTGAACTTAACTGAACTTTTTTTATTTAAAAAATCCTCCAAACTCAAAGCTATTATATAACCTAACAGCTGAAATCAGAGGAGCAGCTTCGACTCCTACTTTTAAAGCCATGAAAAACCCGAGCAGAGCGTGAGCAGCGAGAGCCGAAGAGGCCATCCATGCTCTCATTCTCACTCTCAGCCGGTCTCTACAGACAAACGAAGCGCTCTCAGCTACACAGCGCCGTCCGATGATGGATGTGGTAACTCTCTCTATCACCAAAGACCATCCATCCCAATTAACTGCTTCTGTGAGGGAGGAAGCTGCTGCTGTATAAAACTGATGAAGAACAGTCCACTTACAGGAATTAGCTCACGCTGGAGAAAAAGCTTGTGAACTTCTCAGGACCATTATGGTAGGCGTTTCGTAATGACGGTGTAAAATGCGCCATAAATACACCTTTCTCGTGTGGAGCAGTTAAATCCAGCCTTTCAGGGCGTTGAGTAAAGCCGTTAAAAGGCAGCCAGGTTGTTGTTATTGTTCCTCATAAAAACACTGAAGTAATTTTTGGAGTCCAATATATTTACTTTCTCTAGATTACTGTACACTGCTTCCTCTAATTCTCCTGCTCATGTTTTTGGCTCAGCTTCAAGGAGAGTCATGTGAGCAGAGGAATTCCCTGTTTACAGACCAGGAGCTCCATCCGTCTCCTAACAAGTCCCCAGTGGAGAGCTGAGGAAGGGCCACAGAAAGAGCAAAGAGGAAAAAACAAACAGGAGGGTCTTAGTAAGCGTTACTAACAGAACTCCCTTTGGGTCCGGCTAAAGGGTCTTCAACATTACCACCAATATCCAGACTAAGGCTGCATTCCCACCAGCCTATAACCTCCAGTCCGTTTGTCTGTGAAGTCCAGTTCGTTTGGGGAGGTGTGAATGCGTAATCAAACTCTGATGGGGACCAGAGAAGTGAACTCTGGTCCATTTTGAATTCATGCCTTAACTCCAAGCAAACCAGAAACTGCTCCAAAAGCAGGAAGTGGACTACATCAAAGTGCATTCTGGGTAAATACAATCAAAACAAACGTTTGAGTTTTGGGCCAGTGGTAGAAATTTTACCAAAGACAAAAGAGAAATCCTACAACCGCAAAAATCTGACGCTGATCCATTTTTGTTAACATTGTGTGAAAGAAGGAAGTTGCGCTCAGTGTTTCCTTCAGTGGTTCTTAGTGCAGCGCCCCCACAGGTGAATGGGGGAACATGTTTTTCAGTGAATGTCAACAACTGAAAATGTAACAAATGTTGTAATTTTGTTCCCAAATCGAACCAGTTTACTGGCATAAAAACACCCTCAGTCACAATAACGACTGTTAATAGCAACTGGTTACTTAAGCAGTAGAACTTTAGGCCAACACCTTCTTTATATTGACTCAGTATTCAAATTTTAAGCTACAAAGTACTCAGCATTAAGCAAAAAGAGACTAGAACCAGTCAAGCTAGCAGAGTCCAACTACCAGTAATTCAAAGTACAACTGTGTTTCATTTGACCACATAAATGTGTAAACTGGAATTACGAAACTAAATTTGCTTAATGGAAACACCAATTTTAACAAAAACTCAAGTTTTTCGATAAAACTTTAGCGATAGGATAAGGTGTTTTATTTTTTGGCCTCATCAAAAATTGGTGTATTTTACAAAACTGTAATGGAAACACCGGATGTTACTACTGACGGAAACGACGAAGAACACAACAGGAAGCGATAGGTTTTGTTTTTTACTTACTCATTCACGTGAGATTTAAATTCTGTTACTTAACAGAAATAACGCAATTTCAAAACAGTGTTTTTCCGACATTAGCAGAGTATCAGTGAAGCTTTGCACACACTGAATTGGTTTTTCAGCTTGTTCCAGATCTGCCTCAAACAACCCAACAACACATCACGGTGTTGTTTCCCAGAGCCGGGTGTTTCCAATCTATTAAGGCGCCGTGTTCCTCCAAAGTGGGTCTGGACCCGTCTCTCCTCTGTGTGCATCCCTGAAGTCATCTGAGGGAAGTTTAGACTTTGCTCAACTTTCCCCTGTTAGCTGCAGAGAGTTTGGCCAGAGCCGGTCCCGGGTATCGAGTCCGACCCAATTATGTCTGCCTGCCTCTGTCAGATTGTTTATACCTGGCTGCACTCGTGTGTTTGTGGGGATGTGGAGGAAAGTGTGTGTGTGTGTGTGAGTTCATTTCTTCCCGTGGCTTAGACTCTCCCCATCAGCCTGTTAAACCATTCATCCCTCCCTCCACCCGGAAGGCTTTCCACAGCTAATAAAGTGGGCCAGGTCCGTGGCTGAACACTATTTTTATCAGGAAGTAATTTCCAGGTGGCGCCCGCAGGTAAGCAGCGCCAGCAGCTCTAAACAATGGAGCCGAAACCGGGAGTCCTCCATTAACCTCAGCTGGTCAACATGTTGGCCTCGTTCTGTAACAACTCAGTTTGTTGTCACTCATTTCAGAAAAACATGGATTCAATACGCATTCATTTGTTTAAAACTGAAAATTATATTATATAAGAATCAATTTATTTTTGAAAACAGAAAAGTCATCCTTCTTAAAAGTATTTTCCTTTTTCATTAAGTGGTGCATCAACGCAGCAGGTATTGCTATGTATATGTTGCTTATCACTTTTTTTCTCACAATATTCATATTTTTAAGCTACTACATTTATTATTTCCACCCAGTCTTCTATAACTTTTTAAAACAATTTTTATTTTTGAGTTGCTGCATAATTCCACGTCACCCTTCCACTCAACTTTCTAGGTACATGCTATTCCATTTTTTTCACCACCTTCTACATTTTTGAGCTGCCACACTTCTTCCTTTCACTCAACTTTCTATGTATATATCACTTTTTACACGATATTCTAATTTTTAGAGAAGCTAAAGTTTTTCTTTCCACTCAACTTTCTAGGTATATGCTGTCACTTTTTCACAATAGTCTATTTTTTGAGCTACCACACTTTTTCCTTCCACTAAACTTTCTAGGTATGCTATGACTTAAAAAAAAATCAACAAAAAAGAAACAATATTCTAATTTTTTAATTGTGTTTGTGCTGTGAAAACATCTTTGTCCCTCAGGGATTTCTTCTATTTTAGTTATTTTATCACAGTTAAATGTTTCAGATCCTGAATAAATACATAATAAATAACTTAGACTGACAGCTGTGCTACATGGCTATCAGCTTATCAGACCAAAGCACAGACGTGAGGCGGTCGTGGGTAGAAGAAAGAGAGGAGAACCGGACAGACATAGAGGACAAACCCAGGACTCACGAGAGGAACACGCAGGATCCATCTTCTGAATTAAAGAGGTTCGCAGGATGACAAGAAGCAACGGATGGTACAAAGAGGAGAAAAACGACAAGCCACAAGAGACAGAGATGACCAGACAGGGAGCAAGACAGACTGACAGGCGAGTAAAAGCTGAACAAATGAGACGGGGGGCGGAGGAAGAGGAGGAGGAAGGACGGAGGTGGTTGTTGTTCCCAGAGGAGACGTTACGCTCGCTCCCAGTCCGGTCCTGTCAGCCCATACGTCTCTCCTTTTTTTACTCCAATCTTTCCATCATTCCTTCCCTCCAGACAACGATCAGCCCGTTTGATGTACTGGTGCTGAGATCCGGTCTGTCGCGCCGCTCAGCCCGACCTGACGGCCCGTTTCTCTCAACCAGGCTCAAATATTATGCAGATCAGCACCAGGAAACCAAACCGCAAGTAAATAAACATTAAAACTTCAAATTTTAAACAATTTCTTGTCCTATTCTATTGTATATAAACGTAACTGTTTAGCTTTAGAAGAACAAATGTCATTTACACACCAGCAGGGGCGGTCCCAGCCTGCTTGGTGCCCTGGGTGAACACGAGGCACCATCATGGAGACGCTCAAATTTATTTAAAGCTGAAACTTTTATTTAAAAAAGGTTTTTCTTTTTCAAGGTTGTTAAAATTGTCACTAAATTATGCCAATTTATGTGACGGATAATCTGTGAAAAGTTGGATCTCCAACTCCTCTGTGAGCGGCTGAAGCCATCTGAAGAACCAGCAACAGGAGTGAAAGTAGGGGGGTATGGCAGGGTACTGCGCACCCCTAAAAGATTTAGCGACGTCGTCAGAAATGTCTCAGTTTATTAAAGGTATTGAGGGAATTCAGACAAAATGAAAAAACAAGCAATCCGAGTGAAATAAAGACAAACGACGGGGTGGAAAAGTACTTTTTGTCTTCCTGTGAGTCACTGCTGGCCGCCGACCAGCAGGGAGGGGGAGTTTTATTTCCCAATCCTTTAAATAAGTGTTGTAATTATCTCCTTATCTGTGTGTGGCTGCAGAGGGAGAGCAGCGCGTCACAGAGGTCCATGAAAGATTAATGCCGCCCGGCAGAAACGCCGCGAGGGTTACTCCAACAAAACCTCCGCATCAGAACGTCCCGACTTCAGAGGAACAAGATCAAGACCAAGTGATGCATCTAGGCAGCAAACTGAGCGTTTCTCATGTCGTTTCTTGGCTACAAAACAAAAGTTTGGATGTTGGAGAGAAGAAAGTGTGGTGGCGGTTTGTCCGCCGTTGGAGGGATTTTCTCGGAGGATTCTCCGCCTGCTGTGGTTGTTCCCCTCAGTGAAAGTGGGTCACCTTCTTCTCTGTCAGGAGAACAGCCGGGAATACGCCGGCTTTCTGGGGGAGTTTATGTTCGTACCACATTTCACTTTCTGCAGGGAGAGGTTACAAACGCCAGACACGTTCTGGAGCTCGTTAGAGGAAAAAGTTTGGACGGTTTTAAAACATTTAAAGTGGTGATTTTATGTATTTTTCAGGCATGCAGTGACATTTTACAGCGCAATAAAGTGACTGTGTGGCCTTCAGTTGTTATAAAAAGAAGGCAGAATATCTAAAACATGACTTAAGAGAAATTTCATTTTACATCATGGCTGTATTTGAGGCATTGACATTGGGCCCCCATCTCTTTAAATGGGGCCTATTATGCAAATTTAACATTTTGTACATTTTTATATTTCCATTTGGCTCTCAACTGCTTCTAAAACAACTAAAGCTTAAATAAACACCCAGATGTTTTCTTTGGCCATAAGTTAATCTTTTAGCTTTCTGGAAATTGAGCTGTTTCAAGCCAATGTTTCCTAGCAACCCCAGCCAAGCCCAGCCCAACCCGTTGCCTAGCAACCAAGCAGAACTCCAGCACATTTAAAATCTATGTAATTAATTAAGTGAAATTAATGCATTAAAGTTCAGGTCCTAATTAACGTTTAATGCATCAGTCAAAAAATGCATCATGAAGAGGGAAAAAAAAAACATTTAAAAGCCAAATGTAAGCAAAAACACTTAAAAGTGACTCATCGTCCAGAAAATATGGTAAAACAATTTTGTGCATGACAAAGACAGATATAATTTTTGTTATTGTGTTATTTTTTATAGAGAGGCAGGAAGTGCTTTCATTTGGATTCAATCCACCTGTTAAATCTGACGCTTCTCACCTGCACATCTATGCTAACCAGCCCAGAGGAGGTTTTGTTTGAGCCGTTTCAGAGAAAGCAGTGCCGCAGTCTGCTGTGAGTGAAAAACAGGAACCTGTTTGGTACACAAATGTCAAGCAAAATCTCTGATGTTCAAACGTCAGTAACGTAGGCACCGCGGCGTGGAAGACCAGGCCTACAGGACGGGATTAGGAACAAAAAGAAATCTGAATTTTTTACAGAGTTCTGATCTTCTGAGATCAAGTCAAAAATCTTGGGGGAAAAAAGTCAAAATTCTGGTGGAAAAAAATCTGAATTCTCAAAAATATGTAAAAATTAAAACAAAAATCATCAAAATTCTGAAAATGAAGTGCGTGAGTGACTTTTGACTCTATTTTGGCTCACATGACAAAATGCTTGGACACGTTTGGTTGAGTGGATCCGACTGTTGGAAAGTACTTTAACCGAAATCTTTGTTTTATAAGAAATGTTTACATAATTATTGTAGAATAGATAAAAAAATGTAACTGAGAGAGATTAAATTAATTATAATTGTTTAAAAACAATGTTTTATTGGCACTAGTGGCAGGAAGAAGGGTTTGGGAATCGAACCTGGGGACGCCACTGCTCAAAATGTGTTTCTGAATGTGCAGAGCAGTTGGTTCCTTAAATAAAAGTATATGTTGTACTGCAGTTTGCTGCTGATGTAATGATGTAATTTAAACTCTAACAGATCTCAGCATGAAATATTGGTAATAAGTGAATATGAGGCCATCAGTGTTCAGCCTGATACTCAGCTGAGCGATTCTGCCACACAGTCTGACTTTAAAAACCCCCATAAGCACAAGGAACCTGTGAAATATGTGAGCATCACATCTGTTAGAAGGAGCCTGGTTCCTCATACTGGGCTCATCTCAAACAGCAGGTGTAAAATCAGCAGGTTCTCCAGCCAGGGCGGGTTTAATGACATCACATGTGGGGTTTCTGACCGTACCGATGTGTAGAGGTAGCCCTCGCTGTTCATGGCGACGTAGAGCCCCGTCTTGGTGCTCTGGATGGCCACTATCCTGAGTCCCACAGGAATCAAGTTGAACTGCACTGCAGGACACGAAAACAACAAACAGCGTCAGAAAAATAATAAGTTCATGCAATGAAGACAAGAAAACGAGAGAAAAGGAGTAAAAAACGAACTCTTGGTGCTGATAGGCTGAATCTGCTCGAACCGGACGGCAGAGAGAGATACTTCAGCTGAAGCTTTGCAAACTCAATAAATTACAAAGTGACATCGTGTGAGTCTGCTGTAAAACTGATTGTATCTTTACTGACACAGTTAAACTGAGTCGGTGATGCAGTTTACTGGATCCCCTCTTCAGGAAGCCTGGATTTATTACAGCTCCACAGATAAACCCCCAAATTCAATCAGAAGACAGAAAAACATTCAGGAAGCTACCAGCAGCCACCCATCCTTACAGAATAGAATAGAAATAACTGAATAGAATGGACCACAACAGTAGAGAAAAGAGCTGAATAACATAATGAAAAATAAAACAAAATGTCACAGTAAAGACAACAGTTGCCACTTTACTTGTGCTTGACATTGATTTTATTTTCTTTTACTGGATTTTGCTCTGGATTTTGGTGTTTCTAAACATTAGGATCTATCTGTACCGCCATGATGACATATCTGTGGTTGAAGATCTTTGTTATTTTCGCATCTGCAGAGTTTAAGTCCTCTGAAGGCGCTGCTAACAGGAAGTGACACGGCCGGCTGAGTGATGTTGACATTTACAGCCTCCAGCTGCTCTGTCATAATGTCACGACGACCAGGCTCCACCATAAAACACATCACAATAAAAATTAGATAGATAAAAAGTTTAATGCTGTGCTTCTGCACTTTTCCACATTTTCTGGCTGGGAAGGAAACGTCTAACTCCACGGACTGAGACAGACTATTTCCTGGATCAGGATGGATCTGGTGCAAACGTTTTATAGCCATAATCCACATAAATAAATTATAATAATATAATAATAAATTCAAACTGGTCCATTTAACTGTTAGTGATGTTATACTTTATTTAATATTGATATTTTTAATTGAAATACTAATAAAAATCTGATAATATCTAAACATTTATCTAGACAAACCAACGTACATATATATATATATATATATATATATATA